TTTTTTATTTTCTATATTTGCAGCAACAATAATTGTTACCTCATCTTCACCATTCATCAATGGCTTTTTCCCCAGCAAATACGCGGCCAATTCGATCGAATATGCGATCCCCGCCATAGAGAGGCAGACCAGTATCCCACCAATAATAATGTACGGTCTTCTTCGACCCATCTTAAATTTACTCTTGTCACTAATCGCACCAACCAATGGTTGTATAAGAAGTCCCGAAAGCGGGCCAGCAAGCCATACGAGTGCGATAAGCTCGGAAGACAACCCCAAATTCCTTAGATATGGAGTTCCGTAACTGAAATAAAGGTTACAGTAATAATTTAACTGTCAGATGAATAGTCACCGAGAAGCTCATTTTGATAGGCGTCCGCACTTTTCATTTCATAATTGATTCAGAGATCTATTTGTTTTTTTTAAGAAAAAAAGAAAATCCTACGAAGAAAAAAAAACCTATTTGCGAACTAAACTATCATATAATTCTCAAAAAAAAAAAAAAATAAAATAAAAAGTTTTCTTAAATACAAAAGGTACTCACGATAGCTCCACTGTCCCTATATTATTAAGTTTATTTTTACAATAGACATCATATAAGAATTTTATAAAAAGAGAATCAACGAATATTCCTTAAATTATATTTTTATAGCACTTTTCCTCACTGATCTTTGTCTCCTAATTTTACACCTATCTAGAACAATATACTCACATGTAAATTGCAAACCGGCCATGCATATAGTCAGCTTGATCATTTCCCATGTGGACAACTTCTTTTCGCTGATAATGGCACTGTCGGTTGCCAAATTTCGATAAGAAGGCTCGAAATCCAGAAGAGGTCTAGTAACATTTTCCGACTCCATCATTGAGTGCAAAGCAGTGAGGGCAATAGGTATCGATAGAAATTTCCTTTGCGTACTTCTCGTTAAACGAGGAATGCATGGATGTTATATAAAAAGTAAAGGAGATAAGCTCTGTGCGGGACCGCCTGGGGTAATCAGACCAGTTAAATCAGTTATCAGAGTGCGTTAAAATGGATCGGGACCTCCCAAATACGTCACCATAATGTCTCCTGGGCGTTACTGTAAAAAAATCACTAGACGCACGTGCCGCTGATCACGATCTAGTGTATATATTTTATTAATAGTGATATTAAATTTTTCAAGTTTTACACATGACTAAAGTTGCAGGTTTACCTTTTGCC